GAAGGGGACAGGACGTCTGCACCGTATTGAGGAGAGGATGAATGGGGCCATTTATTGTGAGATTTTGAGCAACAACCTCCTTCCCTCAGTCAGAGCATTGAAGATGGGTCGTGGCTGGGTCTTCCAACATGACAACGACCCGAAGCACACAGCCAGGATAACCAAGGAGTGGCTCCGTAAGAAGCATATTAAGGTTCTGGAGTGGCCTAGCCAGTCTCCAGACCTCAATCCAATAGAACATCTTTGGAGGGAGCTTAAACTCCGCCTTGCTCAGCGACAGCCCCGAAACCTGACAGATCTAGAGGAGATCTGTGTGGAGGAGTGGGCCAAAATCCCTGTTGCAGTGTGTGCAAACCTGGTCAAGAACTACAGGAAATGTTTGACCTCTGTAATTGCAAACAAAGGTTTCTGTACCAAATATTAACACTGATTTTCTCAGGTCAAATACTTATGTTCAAATAAATTCTTTAAAAATCATACAATGTGATTTCCTGAATTTTTTTTAAAAATTCTGTCTCTCAGAGTGGGAATGCACCTACAATGTGAATTTCAGACCCCTCCATGATTTCTAAGTGGGAGAACTTGCAAAATCGCAGGGTGTTCAAATTCTTCTGTTCCTCACTGTATGAATAGCTGCAACACAGTCAATACCTCGAAGGAGATCAAAATTTCTTCAGGTCATTGTGTCAACACTAAAAAATACATGGCTACAGAGTTCTTGTAGACAGGTAAGTGAGGCAGTGTGATGCAGCCAGAAAGACACAATAATGGCAAACTGACTACACCCCTGGCAATATACATCACCTGAACCTTGTAATGACCACAAAGTACAAAACAGCAGCAAGAGTAGGACTTAGTGGGGAAAGAAAGTGACAACATGCAGAAAAAGGAGTCTGAGATTAGCACTGATTCCTAGTGAAAACATAAAGAGTAATGAGGGAAACAGCGCCTACTGCTAGGTGGCAAGTTTACATTTAAACCGCGCTACAGCAGTTGGCCTTCTGTTTAAACGTGGAAATATGCCCTAGCAGCTTGATGTCATAGTGACAGTCCATCTGGGAGCGTCTCCACTGTCTTACAGGTGTGTACTTGCATGTCTCTGTATGTTTATGTAAATATGGAGTATTATGTATGCGTGAAACTGGAAAAAAAAAGCATCAAAACATGTCAATCAAAAAGTGTTACTAACACTCTGACAGGACGACAAGCAAAATTACAAAAAGCACGTGCCTTTATAACCTGAGACAACAGCTAACATGTATTAACAGTGTGTAAGAGAGGTGTGGGTTCAACTTGGAGGCTGCACTTCATGGACACCATGTGTCAACAGTGTGTTATATTGTCAGCTGAATTCCTGAGTTTAACACCTCCACAAACTGTGGCCTCAGCAGCGACTACAGAGTCAGATCAAAACATCTCTGACACAGTGTCTATCAGCTTTATAGGCTTTATAAGATAGGATTTAATGAAGATGTAATACATTGGGCTGAAATGTACAAGTGCACAGAAATGTGACAAATGTTAACAATTATATGAGAGATTTTATTTGACATCTTTATGTAGTCAGTTATTATTAGTGATCCCTTCCAGAATCCTGCTGTTTAGTAAGTACATTTTAAACTACAAATCATTAAGGAAAATGTATTTTTCCCTTAGTTTTTGTGCCAGCTGTGGCTCAGGAGGTAGACAGGGTTGTCTCTTAAATGGAGGGTTGGCAGTTTGATTCCCGGCTTCTCAGGTCCACATCTCTAAGTGTCTTTGAGCAAGACACTGATTCTGATGACTATTCTACTGGTCTGTGTGTGTGTGTGCCTGGGAGTGTGAGTGGGCAAGCAGTATGAAAGTGTTTTGATTATGCTGTAAAGCATAAAAACATTATTCAGTAAACCATTTGCCTTTTTCTTTTTCTTGTTCAGTACACCTTGGGTCTTTGATTTAATTTGATTTAATTTATTCTTTCAAGCATGTAAAGACAGTTGATATGACAACACACAAAATTCTACACATAATCCAATATCAATTTGCTTATACCTAGTACATGCTTGAAAGGAGTAGGAAGAAGTCAGACTTATCCAGTCCTACCCCATGACATCATCTTACCATCATTGGTTTGCAAGCAGTAAATAATTCTCTTCAACACCACACAAGTATTATCCTAAAAAATTATAACAGTGACAACATTCTTACATAATTACATTCTTAAACAATTATCTTCTACACCACACAAGTAATATACTATTACAAAGTGTTAACATTCATACACCACACCCACAATGTTTCATCTAATTAATCATTGAGCCTGTTATTGCATATATCTTGATTGACACATACCTTTATATTTATGTTTAAACTCGTCAATTCTATTACTATTTTTTATGTCCACACTTAAATTATTCCATAGTTTTACCCCACTTATGGAAATACAAAATCTTTTTTTGGTTGTACGTATAGCATGAATTTTT